TTATTATACAAAATCATATTTGTATTGTTCATAATTAATTGTTATCAAAAATGGGATACTAGAGCATATTTTCATGAATATATTTTCGTAGCAGGATCTGGAATTGACGAAAATAATTTAAAATAATCATTTAATTTCTAAAAATTGATTTATATAATTTTAAATAATTCATTAATTCATAATAATCGATTTTTACAATTTAAATAATCAATTAATTCATTATAATCGATTTTTACAATTTAAATGATCAATTAATTAATTTTAATCGATTTCTACAATATAAATAATCAATTAATTCATAAAAAATCGATTTTTACAATTTAAATAATCCATTAATTCATAATAATCGATTTTTACAATTTAAATAATCAATTAATTCATAATAATCGATTTTTACAATTTAAATAATCGATTAATTTATAAAAAATCGTTTTTTACAATTTAAATAATCCATTAATTCATAATAATCGATTTTTACAATTTAAATAATCAATTAATTCATAATAATCGATTTTTACAATTTAAATCATCAATTAATTCATAATAATTGATTTTTACAATATAAATAATCAATTAATTCATAATAATCGATTTTTACAACATAAATAATCGATTAAATGGTACTGACTTCGAACCACTGATCTGAATAAAATTCTAATCGATTTTTAGTAAGTAAATAATCGATTTTCGGGCGCTGTTCATTATCTTCTTGCTCGGGTCAGTTTTAACATTATCATTTTTAATCACCAAACTTCAATTTAATTATATAAAAATGTTCTCCAATGTTTACAGATCATTTTAGAGTCATTAATTCGTAATTTTAACAACAATTTTATGATTCTTGGTTCTTCAAACATGTCAAACACAAAACTCAACCAAATAACCGTTTATGAACGTAGAAACGATCTATACGAACATTCTAGTCACTAGATATATCTACGGGCTTACCTCGGACCTAAACGATGATTCCGGTGATTGGACGACGAAACTTCCGGCGAACACCACGGCTTGCTCCAGCGGCCTCGACGGAAATTAATACCATCAAATTACTCCCCTCACTCTTTAGATTCTTATGGTACTAATTTCAGGAAGTTTTGTGCAGAGTTGAGATAAGTGAGGGTGCCCATTTATAGCATTTGGAGAAGGAAGTAGCCAATTGTTGCTGAGTCATTTGTGACTCACGATCGATTGAGTGGATTCAGCGGCGATCTCCAAAATTTGATACGCAATTCCCTGATTGGGACCAATTTTGGTTCCAGTCGGGATACACTTTTTGGTCCAACTTTCTCCAAATTGAAATCCGTTTGCACCGTTGCGATCAGACAGTTAAACTCTATCCATAAATATAATTTTTATATTTATTTGTAACACTTTTTCCGACATCATATTTTTTGGGTGGTTGACTTTGACAGAGTCAAAATTGGTTTAATTGACCTTTCTCATAAAAGGTTTTCTCATTTAATTCATATCAATTATTCTCATGATTTATTTTAACAAATCATTTCAATATTTACATTCCAAACAAATTCTTTATTTACTCTTGATTTGGGTCTGTACTTAGGTTCCCAATCAAGACCACACAAATAGTCCACATATTGGATTTATCTCTATGAGACTTATCCAGATTTTGATATTGGATGTCAAAACACATTTCATATCGGCCCAAAGCCCAACAATAATTTATTTTAATCAAAACAAATTTGATTAATTGATTATTTGTTTTCATTAATAATTCTAGGGTATGTTTTGGGGCGTTACAATAAACATCCAGGGCACTTCACGTTTGGCTGGTATTATGGGCCGGCTTACTTCTAGATCATCTCATGTCCTGGTTTTGTAGGCCAAGTTAAAAGTTTGAAGAGCATTTTAGATTAAGGCTTGAAAACTTCCAGGTCATCTCATGTCCTGGTCTCCAGGTTGGAAGCGTCCAGGTCAATTCTATTTTTGGCTTATCTTTTGATCCGGTTAACTTCCACGTTGAAATGTAATAAATGTCTAGGTTGAACTTCGTCCTGGTGTACTTTCAATGGTTTGGTCCCGTTACGTCCAGGTGCTGGGTCAAAAATATGACCGATCAAAATTAAACTTTTCCATATTGGTCTGATTTCTCCAAATCCAACCTTTAAAAAGTGACCGGTCACTTTTCTCAAAGTTGACCGGTCAAATTTTGGTTTTTGCCATTCGCCTTTTCTTGCCAATCCAGAACATCCAAGAAGTGACCGGTCACTTTTGACCATGCCATTTTTCTTATGCCCATCTGACCCGGATGTCATGCTCCATAGCTACCTTGATCGAATTTCAAACAAAAATTTCAAAGCGGTTTTTGTCTTAAGTCTCAACATCAAGACCTGATCTTTCTTCGGAGATTTTCACCATGTCCTATGATCGCGAACCCTCTCCAAGGTTCAGCCCTCTTCCAGGTTTTAAGTTTTTTAATGTGCCTGTAACGCCACAAAATATGGCCTAAAATTTATTATAAAACAAAAGTAGTTTTTATCTAATAAGGAATATTTGTACGTTTGACTAAAAATAAATGGATTTTCAAAATAATGACTTTTTGTTAAAAAGTTATATTTATGGATATGTCTCGAAGAGACGAATCCAGCGGTACATTTTATAAACCAATCTAATTTGTAGATTTCAAGTTATGTCAATTTTAAATAGTAAAATTTGTAACTTTGACCCATAAAATAAACTAAATTCAAAAGTGATTTCATCACATTAGAAATCATAATTTTGACACTTGACAATATCATATTTATCGTTTGGATTTAATTCATATATTTTTATCTCATTCATATTATTATGTTAAATTATGACTGAGACAGACCCGGACACTGAGAAAAATAAATGTTCTCAGAAAAATATTTTGTGTACGTCAAAATTCTAGTTTTGACAGTCTGATTCCAAAAACACAATCCATTTTCAATTCGGAGCAGTTTGGGCGAAAAAGCACGTACCGTTTGGAGTAAATTGTTCAGTTTTGGCAA